ATGTGGTTCAGAGTTCTGGGACCATCCCGAGCCTGCTTGGTCGGGTATTCTGTGTTGTTGCCGGTGGAGCTCCTCAATCGGGAGTCTTTTTCGTCTGTTTGTTAGAACAATCTGTTTGTTAGAACAAACTTGCTATTTTACCGAGTGTGATGTCCTTCTCCTGGGACTGACCCTTCCTGACAGTGTGTCGAAACACATGAGACGGAGTCTTGCCATCTCCCTTCTAAGGAGCATTCTGGCTGTACTTTTTCTAAGACAAGATTTGAAGGATCTTCCTCATGTACCGCTTCCCTCACTCTCCCAGCTCAGATACAGTCAGCATTCCACGTCTGGTGTAGCCTTACAGACGGTTGTTGTTAAGTGCTGTCGAGTCTATTCCGGCTCAGAATGACTTTGTTTAGGGTTTCCAAGGAGCAGCTGGTGGGTTTGAATTACTGATCTTGTGGTTTGCAGTCCAGTGCTTGTCCTGCAACACCCCACCAGGACTCCTTCCAGACACAGACTAACGTATTCATGAAACAGTGTGTTTTTCCCCTCAAAGACAAGTGATAGCAGAACAGCCACACTGTTCTTGGTTTGGAGATTATTCCACATCCGCTCATTGATCTCCCCACGCATATACCACCCCACCTGGGTCTTTAGGGTTTTGAGTCCCACAGTTTCTTGGTGTGGGTATTACTGTTTCTTCTTTAAGATGTGATGATGATGTTTAAGGGTGTTCACCGTGTGTCACTGTGGATAGTTTTCTCTAGTTTGACATTTGCATTTTATTTTTGTTTATGCTTAGGATTTTTTGGGATGGGGCATATTTAAAAATATGTAAATCAGTCTTTAAGATGAATTATTATTTACATACTTAAAAATTTTTTTTTCTTTTGGTGCATTTTATGGTTTTATTTTTTCATTTGACTTTAGAATTAAGAAGGTTATGGTACAAATAAGGGATTAATTTTTTAAAAAAAAATTGCTAAGTGTTGTTGAGTCAGTTCTGACTCATGACGGCCTTGTATAGGTTTCTGAGGAGCAGCCAGTGGGTTTGAACCGCTGATCCTGTGGCTCTCAGTCCAGTGCTGATCCTACAGCACCACT